TTATCAATCAACTCGACTCGATCTTCTATTGTTGGAGTTGTCCTACGTGTTTCTTCGATGATGTCCTTTGTGTTCACAAATTGTCGTATATCTTCAGATATGGTAATGAGGAGCATTTGCATGTTATACAATTCTACTTTTCTCTGGCCCTCAGCCGGTGAATGCGGTAATGGGATTTCCATTATTATCATTCGTTGTTTAGCACGTTGATAATCACAAATCATTTCTAATGCATTCGTATCAACAAGAGGTCATTGCTCGTCTTCAAGACGTGGTATAACATACTCTATAGGCAACTCATCCTCTTTGTTCGAGTTACTGGATGTTGGAGACTAAAAATAGAATATACCTAAATTATATTAATATACTATTTAGAAACCAATGTGCATAAAAGTATTTAATAATAATAATAATAAACACTTCCTGAAACATATTCATAACAAAAAAAAACATAATTGCAACTAGTCTATCATAACATGTTTGTTAGCATTTGCTCCGGTGTCTTATTTCGGAGTCTTCTCTGCTTTCAATTTAAGTTTTAACACTCTTTCTGATTTCTTTCTTAATTTTATGGGTGTCTTTGTTGGTTTATTTTTTTTATCTTATTTTGAAACTCACCATCGTCCTTTTTTATCTGCAAAAACAAAATTCCAAGAACAATTTAATAAATTACCGTAAAAATAAATTATAATTATAAAATTATTGTTTTTCGATTTCATATTTATCGAACGCAATTCCGAAAGCTCCTATGGAATACAACTTCGTCGTCCGTAAAACCCACTTTTTTAACAACATCCACGCTAACTCGTCTTTGGACTAACATGAGTTATTAAGCAATACTTAGAAAAAAATTATATATTGTACTTATTTCGAATCATAATTCTGGAATAGATCATTGGGTTCCGGACCACGTTCATCGTGTTCCGGACCTACATTTCCATTTTGGAACCCCTACAACACCTTATTTTGTACTAAAATAATCGATCAGAAACACAATACAAAGTACTTACATAACATTTATACAGGTACAAAGAGAAAAATATATAAAAAAGGATATTTCGGATATTCCGGAGTTGTTCCAGACTTGTTCTTCGTGTTCCGAACCATTCCAGACAATTCTGGAATACGTAAATCGTTTATGAAAATCAAATGCAAAGTAACTTAAAGTGTAGAACTTACTTGCTTTGACGAATCCATGTTCAAACTTTGGTCCGAAATGCGGGTAGATCGTGTTCCGGATATGCTAATTATAGAACGTATATTTCAGATTTTGTGTGTGTGGGACCCATATATATATACCACTGGGCTACAGTATTGGGCTTCGGCCGGTTTTCGAGTCCGGAATGACCCATTTCGGATGAAAAGTTTAGTTAAAAAAAACACCTGGATATATTTAAAAAAAAGAGTAAATTACACAAACGATGAGGATATTCTATTTCTTTAGAATATCTCAATTTCCCATATGTATTTCTATCTTTTTTTAGGAATATTAATAAGTTTTTTGGAAGTATAAATATGCATTGTTACGAATTTAGAAATATATCAATCAAAAGCGTGTTTATATGTCAAAAAAAATATTTATACTTCTATAAACGTTAACATACGAATTTATACTTTGAAAAAATGTATCTATACTTTTAAATACATAAATATACCTATTTATATTTCTAAAAAATATAGTTATACTCCTAAAAAGTATTTTTATACCTCTATAATGTGGAAATACGTATTTATAATTCTAAAAATATATCTATACTTTCGAAAACATAAAAAATATATATATTTATACTTCTAAAAGACATATTAATATTTCTAAAAATATATGTATACTTCTAAAAAAAATAAAAAGACATATTGATATTTTAAAAAATATATAAATATGTATTTTTATGTTTTTAGAATAATTAATGTCTTTTAGAAATATAAATATGTATTTTGCATATTTAGAGGTATAAATATGTATTTTTATGTTTTCATAATCATAAATATGTTTGTTTTTGCATATAAACACGCATGTAATTGATATATTTCTAAATACGTATTTATATTTCTAAAAAGGGAAATCTACGAAAAAGTCCCAATATTTTAGGCCAGTTTACGATTTAATCCAAATTAAATTTTGTTTACAAAAAAGGACATATTACCGGCTAAAACTTCGGATTAACCCTTCGTGACCGGTTTCATAGATTTAGCCGGTATATCGTCTTTTTTCGTTAATTAATCCAAATTTTGGGGCTTTTTCATTAATTAATCAAAATTTTAAGGCTTTTTCATTATTTATTACCAATAAACCAAAATATTTGGACTTTTCTGAAGATTACCTTTAAACTAATATATATTATATGATCTAATTTAATATGTACTATTCCATATCTTCTTTCTTATGCTCTTCTAGGCTCACCGTGTGTTTTTATCGGTGTCGTCAAACCCAACAACAAAAATCTCACTCACAAGACTCGTTAACCTCCATCAATTTTCCAAATTATCCATTCACAACTCTATGATCATCTTTCAATCTCCAAATAAAGAAACGGAGAAAATCCTTGTTGATTACGTGGATGTCCCTATTACCTAACCATGACTTAAACCGTGGTTCCAACACTTGGATGTTCCTATTACCTAACCATGACTTGAACCCATACACTAATGGCGTTGTCCATAGTGTTGTTAACAATAGAAGACGAATCTCACATGTTCAACCACTGATACATTGGCTCAAGTCTTACTTGACCCTTGTTTCCTTACAACACTGTAGAAGCCCCAACATAAGATGAATCCCACATGGTTCATCATTTATTGGTTTTTTTTGTCAAAAAAGTAAGCATTTTGGAAGCCCCAAATAGACTAAAACGTAATAATGACAATTTGGTATATCACACCATTGTCATTATGACTTAAACGTAACATCACAACAATTGTCATTATTACATTTTAGTCTATTGGGGCTTCCAGAATGCATTAGTTTTTGGCAAGACAAAAAACCAATAAATGATGAAGTTTTTGATAAAGATCGGAACACATCTTATTGATGGATCCAAGAGCTCCTTATCGTCCCAACCTTTTTCTCCTCAATCTTCTTCCAAAAAAATGCACTACAATATGCAATATTAGGCCCTCTTTCTCTCCTACAAGCATATAGCTCAATTAGGGTTTCTCTCAGAGTGTTAAGATGATAAGGGAGGCGGAAATGAAGGCTTAAGGTCCTTTAAATAGGACACAAACCCTGAAAATAGGGTTTCACACTCAGCTCCTACTCGTCGAGTTGGGGCCTCCAACTCGTCGAGTAGACTCTAGAAATTACGCGACCATTAACACTCTCTACTCGGCAAGTTGGGGCCTCCAACTCGTCAAGTTGATAAGACAACAAGAATATAAATTAATTAAATATTATACCTGGGAGTCGGGATGTTACACCTATTGTAAGGAAACAAGGGTCAAGTAAGACTTGAGCCAAGGTATCAGTGGTTAAACCATGTGGGATTCGTATTTTGTTGTTAACAAAACTATGGACAATGCCATTAGTGTATGGGTTCGAAATAAGGTTCGAGTCATGGTTAGGTAGTAGGAACATCCGAGTGTTGGAACCGTAGCTCGTAGGTATAACCAAATTAATATTTTAATAGTTTATGATGGATAGCTTGTTGACATTTTTTTTACAATTAGAGTTAACATTCTTCATGGTTTTCAGTACATAATATCAAGTTGATTTTTTTAACCTATGTTGAGTTTTTTAAGCTTAATGGTTCATTCTTCATGGTTTTCAAGCCCTGTTATAAGGAAACAATGGTCATGTAAGACTTGAGCCAAGGTATCAGTGGTTAAACCATGTGGGATTCATATTTTGTTGTGAACAACACTATGGACAATGCGAATAGTGTATGGGTTCGAAATAGGATTCAAGTCATGGTTAGGTAATAGGAACATCCAAGTGTTGGAACCACGGTTTAAGTCATGGTTAGGTAAGAGGGACATCCACGAATCAACAAGGATTTTCGCCGTTCTTTATTTGGAGATTGAAAGATGATCATAGAGTTGTGAATGGATAATTTTGGAAAATCGATGGAGTTAACGAGGCTTGTGAGTGAGATTTTTGTTGTTGGGTTTGACGACACCGATAAAAACACACGGTGAGCCTAGAAGAGCATAAGAAAGAAGACATGGAATAGTACATATTAGATTAGATCATATAATATATATTAGTTTAAAGGTAATCTTCAGAAAAGTCTAAATATTTTGGTTTATTGGTAATAAATAATGAAAAAGCCCTAAAATTTTGATTAATTAATGAAAAAGCCCCAAAATTTGGATTAATTAACGAAAAAAGACGAGATACCGGCTAAATCTGTGAAACCGGCCACGAAGGGTTATTTCGAAGTTTTAGCCGGTAATCTGTCCTTTTTTGTAAACAAAATTTAATTTGGGACTAAATCATAAACTAGCCTAAAATATTGGGACTTTTTCGCAGATTTTCCTTCTAAAAACATATTAATTATCTAAAAGACAAAATTGCAAAAATGGTCCCTGTGGTATGCATTTTCTTGTGGTTTTAGTCCAAATCTCGACTTTTTTGGATTGATGGTCCTTTTGGACTAGTTTGTATGTGAAAAGTCCCTCCGAAAATTGAAATGACTAAATTGCCCTTTTGATATATTTTTTATATTTTTTCAATTTCATTTAATGTTTTATTAATAATAAAATGGGGCCCACACCCCCATTTTATCTCTCTCTCTCTCTCTCTCCAACACCCACCTTTGACGATCGTTTTTCTCCCCCAATCAAACCTTGAAACCACCATTGTTCTTATGAAAATCGAAGTTGTAAACCAAAATAAGAACCCAAATCTCGAACTCATTTCGCCTTCTTCACACCCAAAACTTGGATGAGATAAACCAACTCCAAACACCCTTCTTTTCATTCAATTTTGTTGTTGCCATCAAGAAGAAGAAAAACCCCAAGGAGAGGTTGTTTTCGAGTGAGTTAACAGGAGACAGCTGCCTCTTCTACTTCACCCGTCTTCTCCTTCGTTTCCTGTCATGAACAGTCAGGGGTGATGGCCAATTATGGCGAGACTTCGAGGCAACAGCCCCTTGTTTCCACCCTTTTACATGTCGATCGTAGTCACTGAACCCTCCCTCCCCCCCGAAAACTGTTGCGATCGCTGCTGCCTTTCCCCCTTTCATTCTCCATTTCTTCTTCGTTGCCTGGCCTAAACCCACCACCGAAGCGGGTGTTTCCCCAGAAAAAACATCAGAGGTGGCAGCCCCCTTTTGATTCCCCACCTTCACACCTTCCTTCCGAGATAGAAGAAGCACAGGAGGTCCTTTTTCCCGTCGCCCCAAGCCTTCCCTGTCACTTCCTCGCTCGTGATTAGCCTTCTCGATCAGATGAAAACCAAGAACCGGAGGCCCCTTTGCTGTCGCCAATCTAATTGCTAATAAGTGTTGAAATCTTGTAGATTGTTTGTAACACCCCGTTTATTTAATAAATAAATAAATTAATTAATGATTGTATAATAGTCCTAAAATCAATAATTCCATAGCAAGGAGTAAGTTCCGGGAGCTACTTTGTAAAGGTTCTTAGAAGACAGGGGGTGTTCGGTATAATTTGGACCTAATATGGAAGGAATTATGGAAGAAGGAGCTAAATAGTAAATTTTGGACTTCATTTGAAAATAGATGTTGAGAGAGGGGCTACTTGGTAAAATTTGGACTTAATTTGTAAAGGTTTTAAGAGGCAGGGTTCAAATGGTAATTTATGGGTTCATTTTGAAAGAAGAAGGGTAGGGAGGGACTATTGTTGTCATTATGGCAAACTTATGAGATGGAGATGAGTATTTAATATTTCGCAAACCCTAAACCTAATTACCCATCTTCAGACGCCACACCTCTTCACCTTATACCTCCCTCTTCGTCTCCGGAACTGATGTCACCCTTGTACCTCCCTGCCGGCGCCGCTACCATCCCATCTCCGATTAGCAAGCAACCACCGTGACCACCAGACTCCCATCGTGTTTGCGGTCGGCGGATGAGTTCAACGAGTTGAGGGTTTGGATGACAGGGCTGTGGGAGTTGAATGGGCGACGCACCATTCATTAGGTCCGTTCTCCGACCACCTAGCACCGTCGGGCAGCCTCCAGACGTTGCTACTTCATCAACCGCCAATAGAAGCCGTAACCACCGCCATGTGTGCGCTGCTGCTGCTGCCCTCCGACGACGACAAGGCCGCCTCATGCTGCCTTGATGACGAGTGCCTTCGTGGCGTAGTTGCCGGAGGCGTAACTGAATCGTGAAGGTGTCGCCGCCACCTCCCTCGTTCCTGTTGCGTCGTCACAGGTCCACTGCCGCCGGAGATTTCGTGAACCGTAAGGACTGACCACCGCCACCACCGTGAGGCGGTGGCTGCCATCGCCGTATGCCACCAGGTGGGTGGCTAATCCCTTTGAACAAATCAGAATCGCGTATATGGGTTGTAGATGGCGTTGATGGCCGGAAGACGGAATAGATATCCACCATGGCCGCCAGCCATGGTGGCTGCCACCATCTACCACCACCGGCCACCATAAGGTGGCTGTGTGTGTGTTTATTTTGTTATTGTCTGTTTATTTTGAGATTTAGCATTGTAAAGTGTAAATTACAAATTGGAATAATGAAAAGAAAATTGAAAACCACCACCGTAGGGTGGTGGCTGCCGCCTCCTGCCGCCACCAGCCGCCATGTTGGGTGGCGGTGTGCTTGTTGTGTTTGATTAGTCGGGATGTTTGGACAAGGGGACTAAAACCCTAATGGGCCTAAGGGAAACCCAAATGGGCTTAAAGATTTAGTTTTGGGCCTATTGGACTATGACTGGGTTGGAAACCCTAATTAGGGTTTAGAAAACCCTAATATTGGATATTTGGATTTGGACTTATCGGGAGTCGCATTTTGGACCATTGGAGTGAAGTGATGAATCAAGCCCAATTTCATTGTATGTTTGGACTTAATGGATTAAGTCGTTAATGGATTAAATCCATAATGGGTTAAGTAGGAACACTTAACCCTAATCGCCATTTTACGTGAAAAACCCTAATTGGGTTTGGATGGTTGTTGGGCCACTTATTGGACTAATCTGTGGTGGGCATTTGTGGGCCAATTGGGAACCCATTTATGGGCTAAGGGAAATTATTGGGCTTCAGGATAATACCCATTAGAAAGGGTTGGGCCCAATTTGGAAAATTGGGCCATAAGTGGGCCATGATTGGGCCTTGAGGATTATTAGGTATTAGGCCATCAGAATTCCAATTGTTTGGGCTAGAATAATTGGTTGGGCCTTAAAATAAGTCCATGTAGAGGTTTGGGCCCAATTTGGAAAATTGGGCTATATGTTGGGCTTTGGCCCATTACTTGGCTTTTGGGCCTTTGGAGTGTGATTTGGACCTTGGGCTTGGAACCCAATTATTAATTGGGGATTGTTTGATGTTGACAGTTCGGGAATCTGTCAACCAGCAGCTGGAGTTTTATTCGCGGGACTTTAGCAGTGTCAGGTGAGTCTCCTCACCATACCAATGGGTCTAAGGCACCAATGCCGACCCATTTTATGATATGTGTTACACTAGCTGAAGTTGTATTATGTGGCATTTTAGCTGGTTATGTGATAGGGAGTATGCTAGTGATTATGTGGTATGCTAATTGATTATGTGGTACGTGATATGCTAGTGGTCTTTGTGATACTTGCATGGAAGACCTCGGGGGGGGGGGGGGGGGGAGGTTCCCATGGCACTTAGGTGTAAGACCTTGGAGGGTTTCCATGACATCCTTAGTTAAGACCATGTGGGGGGTTCCCGTGGCATTGGGCTAAGACCATGTGGGGGTTCCCATGGCACCGGGTGTAAGACCATCCATTCAAGCATTCGTCGTATGCCGATTGCATACCGTGAGTTACAGGGTGGTTAGTAAAAGTTGCTTCCCTATTCGCTGGCTTGGAGCGTTCAGGGTAATCTGGGTCTAGGGTCGGGATTGGTTCAGGGACATGATGCGGAAGGTCTACGGACAGTATTGGTGACTCAGCCATGGTGCTCTAGTCGGCTTCTGGAAGCGCCAGGGGAAGTGGTTTACTGTAGAGGCTTTGATCTGGGCATCAGGTATTTAGACTTCAAGATATAGGTGGGGCATCATTTGAAGGCGTCTGAGATTATTAGTCTCGCTAGGATTCGGAAAGTGTTTGTTAGATCTTTAGGAGTTGCGTGGTCCTTGGGGATTTGAGCCAGTAATAGGACACTCGCACGGACAAGAAACAGGTTGGCAGCAGTTGGTTATTAAAGAGTAAAAAGGATCGGGAATCCTTCAGATCCCATGTATTGTGAAGACATAGTCGAATCTAAGTGGGGGAGAATCGCACAGGTATTCAGGACAGGAACATGTATGAGACCGGGATGGGTTTCTCGTCCTCATCGGGGAAAAAGGGGCGACCCAAGTAGCTATTTGATTTGAGGGTTGTGCGAGTCTGGAGTCCAGTAAGACTCCCCGTCGTGTGAATCGCGTCTTCTTGGGGGCTTGATAGCAGAATTTGGGGGAAACAGGTTGGGACTCCAGTCATGAATCGAGTTCAGTTCGGGTGATCGGTCGAGTGTGTAATTGACTCCGCATGCGTTTGAATCGATAGATTAGGAGTAAGGTATTGGGCTACGGTTGTGTTAGGATGAAAGTGTTGTAATACTACGGGGGAGCCATAACATTCACTAATGATCAGTTGGTATGGAAGTGTTGTAAGACTACAGGGGAGTCGTAGCATTCACTCATGGTCAGCGGGGTGAAAGTGTTGTAAGAATACGGGGGAGTTGTAGCATTCACTAGCGGTCAGATAGTGAAAGAGTGTCGTGAGACTGCGGGTGTAGCCGTAGCATTCACTAGGTTGGTGGATAGCATGGGAGTGTTATTAGAACGCGAAAGGAACAGTAGTATCCACCAGTTCGGGTGCATCAGTGAGGATATGGAAATCCACGGATTGGATTTCGAAATTACCCAGACGAATTAGACCTGGTTAAGCCAGTGATAAGACCGTAGGAGCGCCATTCGGCTATGAGAGCAAGGAGACAGTGGACTGCTTAAGGTCATTCGTGACATAAGGCTACCATCGGTCGAGTAGCAATCATTTCTAGCCTTGGATTTGTCGACGTCAGGATTCGACGCATGGACCCGATCGGTTGAGTCGGGAGATTGTTAGAGCCACATCGATATGATAATTAGTGACAACTATTTCCAGAGGAGGATCTCGTTCGGAAGTCGCATGGAGTGACTGCATGTGAGTCTTTTGGCTCCGCAATCGGGTTGGTGTTGGATTAATGTCTAAGTCCATAACTATAATTGGTAAGACTTGACCCGACCCGGCATGGTCCATTTGGGTTGCATGGCATCATGCATTTGGATAAACTATAATGAGAGAAATAACACTTAAGGTTGGTTAATATATTATAAGTTCTAATATATTAATAAGGTTATTTAATTAGTATTGATCAAGAATTAATTTGGAATTAATTAAGTGATCAAAAGGAGACTAATTAAATATATGGGTTGATTGTGTAAATCATTCATTCTTATATATGTGGGCTTGTGATCCAAGATTCCTTATGTTGGACTAAGTCCATGGGGTGAACCATGGATACTCCATGGAGGTTAAAATCCATGGAGCATAAGGAATGGGTAAAGTTATGAGTTACATGGTGTAACCCTAATAGCCACCATATAAAAGAATCCCATGGCTCTCAGAAATCGTGCACTAATGTGTGAGTGTGAGGGCTAGACGATTTCAAGGAGTGTTCCACGTTTCTCTCAAGTTATTCCAAGTGTATTTGGTGTTGTGTGAACCATTTGAGGTGTCACAGTTGGGGCACTAGGCACTCAAGCTTCATGAAGACATTCTACATCAAAGAGGTATGTATTCTATCTTGTTATATTTATTATTTTGTATGCTAGATTAGGATAATACCTTGGATGTTCATAATTGTATGTATAATAGAGAAAACATAGATCCAAGGTATTTAGGGTTGCATGTACACTTAGGAGTGTTAGAATGCTCATAACCCAACAGTGGTATCAGAGCCTAGGCTTGTTTTCTTGTTATACTTGCAAAGTAGCTGAAAAATCGAGTTGATGCAATATTCGATTGTTTTGGCTGGAATTGGACTAGGAACATTACCCTAAGATGTTTTTGGACTTATAACTTGTTTTTGATGTGGTAATGTTCATGCTAATCCAATTTCTAAGATAATTGTCATAATTTTCAAGATTTGTATTAGTTTGTATGTTTCATGCTAATTTCTTGAAGATTGATGATTGAATTATCTTGTTCTTATGAGGTTCTTAGATTAATAGAAAAGTGTGTGAAATAGTTTTTGTTTTCAATCCATTTTAATCTAAGTTGATTCCAAAGTGTGTTTTTGTAACTTGTCCTCAAGTTATATTAAAAGTCACATTAAGAATCATAAAACTCATAAAAGTTGGCAAAGGTTACAAAATGAAGAGTCTAGTTCTAATTAAATGGTTTTATGACTCCATAACTTGTCCTCAAGTTATCGAGGTTCAAGAGTCTCTTCATTAAATTAAAAAAAAAGTGTAACCTTAATTAGTTCCATAAGTTACAATAAAAAAAAGTTATTTTTTTTATTAATTAGTTTAAAGTCTTCCATAACTTGTCCTCAAGTTATGGAACTTGAAGAGTTTTTTTTTTTTTTTTAATTAAAATACTTTAAACTCATAGTTATGGAATTAATTAGTTTTGAATAGTTTTCAAAACTTGCCCTCAAGTTTGGAATTTAAAAGTTTTCACTTATGAATACTTTAATTCCAAGTTAGCCCTTAGAATTTTAAAAGTTAAAATTCAACCCTTATACTTTATAATATTATAAGTTAATAATATTTATATATATGTATAAGAGTAAAGTCAGTTTTACCGTTAGTAGGCCTCATTCACGAAGCCGGTCTATAAGGGGGGTATAAGGTTACTGCCTATAAAATGGCAGTTTTAATGGGTGTCCACTCTCACCCACCGCTTCCTTGACTGGTGGATGGTCGTTAGCCGAACGGGTAGGACAAGGACTATAATTCTCCTTTCATTAAAAGTATTAATGATAAATACTAAGTAACTAAACTCTTATTAATACCCAATCTTAGTTACTTAGGAAAATGTGAATTTGGTGCTAACCCATGAAATTACACTTTGCACTTTGCTTAAGTCGTTAGTGGAGCGTGTGTGGTTAACCGGCACACTAACCTGGACTTAACAAGGTAGGCAAAGGGCAACTTAATATTTATCATAGTATCGGTGGAGCGTGTGTGGTTAACCGGCACACTGATTAAGGGGTAAATATTAAGGGTACCAAGTATATTTGCATGGTTTATTCAGACCTTGTTTTTGTGATCCTCGGCATCCCAGTCACAAAACCTGAAGGGGCACACTCGAGATTGAAACATGCCTTTGAACAGTTCAATGAATCTCAAAGATCTAGGACTTTCAAATCCAATTAAAACTAATAAATTATTTCGTTTGTCATGGTGGAATTGGTGAATCGTCATTCACCTACCTTCAAATATTTTATAGCTTGGGATTACGGCAACCCTTTCTAAGTTATAAAATAGTTTTTTGGGTCCTGCCTTAATATTTCATATTGGGTGTCATATTAAGGACTTTAAATCAACTATCTTGAATACTCCCAAAAAGATGTCTGGTCTAGACATTATGTCTTTCCCAATCTCTTGAAACAAGCTTTTCTAAATGAAGATGATGTCCGCCATGGATATCATACTTCTTTCACCTCCTCCAATTATTCTCCCTACCCCACAAGTTCCTAAAAAGTTTAAGGTCACTCAGCCCTGTTGGCAAGGCAAGGTCTAGGTGTGATCACATCTTGGAGATGTAGTCACATATTGACAAGCCGAGAGAGTTGGGTGTCAAAGTCTTGAGAGAGTTGGTGGCCTCAACTACGTTCTAAGTCACATAGTGAGTTCCTTTGGGAATCCTATGAAACAGACTAAGACAAGACCCTTAATGATCTTATCTATTTGCTAAGATGATCAACTTCCTAAACGCTAGTGACATTGACAATGATGACATTGATATCCAGTAAAGCTTCTCTCTTCCCAATGGTAAAGGGATCGGCCAGTCAACTCGGTTGACCCAATGGTAAGAGAGAGGCGAAGTCTGAGATAGTCCCATTATCAAGGGTCCATAGGTAACTATTG